CGCTGAGCACCCTACAGTCACGCGTCTCCTCGCTACTGTTGTCACTGACCCTACCTTTGAGTCCTCGGCTGCGTCTGCTCTGGTCGCTGAGTTGGTTGACTTTGCTGCTGCCTGTCGTCTAGACTACGCTGCTAGCCTTGTTGCTGAGTCAGAGTCTGCGTCTGTCTGTCCTCCGTCCGTCGGGGGTGAGTGTGCTCTTGGCACGGACGTCCTTGAGGACAGGCAGGAGGACTTTGACTCTCTTGCGGCTGCTGTACCTCATCTCGTGGCCTGGTTGCTTGCCCCTGAGGGAGACCCGGATGCACTAGACATCCCCACTCCGCGCACTTACGCAGAGGCGATCTCGGGTCCCTACTCCTCTCAGTGGCAGACAGCCATGGACGCAGAGATGGCATCCTGGAAGTCCACAGGCACCTACGTCGACGAGGTTCCCCCTCCTGGGGCGAACATCGTCGATGGCATGTGGATTTTCAGGGTGAAGCGGCCGCCAGGTTCTCCGCCTGTCTTCAAGGCTCGTTATGTTGCTAGAGGCTTCAGTCAGCGTCAGGGGGTCGACTTCTTCCAGACCTTCTCCCCCACCCCGAAGATGACCACTCTTCGGGTTCTGCTGCACGTTGCTGCTCAGCGTGACTACGAGCTTCACTCTCTTGACTTCAGCACAGCGTTCCTGCAGGGCAGCCTGCACGAGGAGATCTGGCTGCGCCGCCCACCTGGCTTTACTGGGTCGTTTCCCCCTGGTACCCAGTGGAGTCTCCGCCGGCCAGTCTACGGTCTCCGCCAGGCGCCACGTGAGTGGCACGACACACTGAGGACTACTCTTGCGGCTCTTGGGTTCGCGCCGTCTACTGCTGACCCGTCGCTGTTTCTGCGCACAGACACGTCGCTGCCGCCGTTCTACATTCTCGTGTACGTCGACGACTTGGTCTTTGCTACTGCTGACACTGAGGCACTCGCTCGTGTGAAGTCGGAGCTGCAGAAGAGACACACCTGCACTGACCTGGGTGAACTGCGTAGCTACCTTGGCTTGCAGATCACCCGGGACAGAGCTCGCCGCACCATCACCCTGACTCAGTCACACATGGTGCAGCAGGTCCTTCAGCGCTTCGGCTTCCAGTTCTCCTCACCACAGGCCACACCTCTGGCTACCAGCCACTCGCTCTCAGCTCCACCTTCGGACGAGTCCGTAGAGCCGAGTGGCCCGTACCCAGAGCTTGTAGGCTGCCTCATGTACCTGATGACTTGCACGCGACCTGACCTCGCGTACCCTCTTAGCATCCTTGCTCGTTACGTTGCGCCTGGGAGACACAGGCGAGAGCACTGGGAGGCTGCTAAGAGGGTGCTGCGTTACCTGTGCAGTACATCAGGCATGGGGCTGGTGCTTGGAGGACGCGACAGAGTTGTCCTCACTGGTCACTCGGACGCTTCTTGGGTGGACGACCTGGCTACGCAGCGGTCGTCACAGGGTTACACCTTCAGCCTTGGCTCAGGTTCTGTCTCGTGGCGGTCCACCCGCTCTTCCTCTGTTCTCGGCTCTAGTTGTGAGGCTGAGATCTACGCCACAGCCATGGCTGCACAGGAGCTACGCTGGCTCACCTACCTGCTGACTGACTTGGGAGAGCGGCCTAGTTCTCCTCCAGTTCTGTACGGTGACAACAAGGCGGCTCTTGCCTTGTGTCAGGAGCACAGACTGGAGCACAGGACGAAGCACATTGCTCTTCGCTACTTTCTTGCTCGAGAGCTTCAGCAGCGCGGTCAGCTTCGGCTTGTGTACGTGGACTCGAAGGCCAACACTGCTGATATCTTCACCAAGGCGCTCCCGCCTAGTGATCATCAGCGGCACTGTACTTCTTTAGGCCTTGTGTCCACGTTTCCTCACTTGCTCACTGCTTGACATTCTTTGTACTGTACTTTATATATATCTTGTTGCTTGCTTGCTAGGTTTTGATCACTGTGTTGCTTGTCTTGTACTATATCTAGCACTGCATGTGAACTGGCCTTGTGGCCTTTACTTGTGCTCGGAGTGTGGTGACGTTGTGATCCACCCTGGGCTTTGTTTTGCTTTGCTGGACTGGTCTTGTGACCCTTTGTTCTCCCCCACTTTGCCTATGGGGGTGTGTTAAACTGTATTATGCTTGTAGGCTGTAGTGGGGTAGCCAATATGGGGTACAACCCCAACTAGGGTTTCATATTTGTACCCAAACTTCTGCTAGTTCATCCATTCTTGCCTAGTTATTCTGAGAAATCGCGATTGTACACTTCGCGTGCCACACGGTACACTAAATCAACGAGCAGGCAAACGAGCGACGCTGAGGCGAGGACGAAACCCCAACGAGCCTCACAGCCGCAGTTTGGGACACGTCCGTGGCGAAAGTCCCGGTTCGCGTGATCCCGAACCGGCAGATGTTGCAGCCGTGGGTTCACGAGTGGGGAGGGGGTAAAAGGGGCCCGAGGCCGTCATTTCTCATTTGTGCAAGCGATTGTGATTTTTTGCAATCGATTCTCAACCTTCGCTTCTGCTTTCAAACTTCAACCCAGGTGAGCAGCGGGGGCTTGGGCTAGGGGAAAGGCGTAGGAGGGTGGGCGGATTTTGTGTGCAAGGGGTCAGTGTGGATAGCTAGGTGGATTGTAGGGCCCGCGATGTGCGGTGTGTTGTTTTTTTTTCCCGGTTTTGTGCCGCTGAAGTGGCAGTGATCTAGTTTCCCTCGACCGGGCTAAAGCGTAATTCGGGATGGTATAAATCGTGCGCAGTGATCGGCGCGGTTTTGGCTTTTTTTTTCGCTGCTCTTTTTTCGCGTCGTTGAACCCGTCATTTTTCGCGTCGTTGAACCCGTCATTTTTCGCGTCATTGAGCCCGTCATTTTTTGCGTCGTTAGACCCCGACATTTTTCGCGTCGATGAACCCCGTCATTTTTCGCGTCGTTGAACCCAGTCACTGGGTTTTCATGATGCGAATGTTGCTCACCAGTCGGTCGCGCATGCCGTGATGAATCGTGCCGTTCGCGATTTCGGCAGGATGGCTCGTGAGGCGCGAGCGTTGTCCGACCCCGTCGGGTGCCTTAAGAAGTTTGACGTCGCCATGGAGGCGGGCGGAGCCACCGTTGTGCTGGCCGCGGAAGACAAGTCCGTTCTCGCGGACGATAGCGCCGACTTCACCGCCGCAGTCCTCGATTTCGAGTGCATGTAAGAGTGCGCTTCGTGTTTCATCTTCAATCGTGCGCCGGTATTGTTATGACGGAATTAAGCTGCTGTTTTTTTTTTGTTCTGTTCTCAGTTTCGTGTTGGAGAAACACGGAGGTGATCGCCGCAAATCGACAAAGATTTTTACGTCGGCGCAGCAGGCAAAGTTGCTGGCATCCGACGCCCCCATACCCGCCATGCTCAAGTCTGACCTCCTCGTTTTCCCCCTGTGGTCCAAGTACGGATTGGCCGCGAATTTTACGAGCAATGCGGAATGGAACTAGTGCAGTGCCTAACGCTTTTTTCGCGTGGTCATGAGCAGGTCGGATATCGACGAGCCGCTGTGTAGCATTATCGTTTTTTTCAAGCCGAACGACTTGCAGAACGAGGGCAGCGAGGGCTGCGCGACTCGACTCATCCATATTGACCCGGGCGTGGGACCCGACGGGCACGCCACGAAGGTGGAGGAGATTGTCGCGTAAGAAAACCGACACGTTTTTTTTCGCATTTGGAGGGTTCGCGCTGATTCCGACTTCTGAGACGTAGCCGTGCGATTTTGGTCGCAGGTGGTTCAAGTCCTCTTTCGAGACGTATGCAAAACAGGACAAGGAGCCCAGCCTTAAACTGGCGCATCCGCGGGTGATGGCTTTGAAGCGGATGCACATGGTTCGTGGGAGATCAACCGCACTCACTGATTGTACATTTCCGCGCCCCTCTGCGAAACTGACCTATCTTCTGTATTCGCGTGCAGGACCTAACCGCGATAGATGATTCGCGGTGTGGATCGGGCGTGAAGAGCGTCTACGGGTTCCAGCGCCTGCTTTCGGAATTCGTAACGCTGGCGAAGAATTCCGACGCTCCGGTCCGTGCCGTGGCGAACAAGAATCTGAAAGCAACTCGCGGCCAAATTCTAAAGCACGCGCAAGACATCGCTATCAAAATGAGCATCTCCGACCAGGCCGGAGGGTCCGGAGAGGTGTCAGGCCGGCGACACGCGGTCGAGGCCAGGCAGGAAGAGTCCGACGACGAGGAATTTGAGGAAGCAGAGGGCGATCAAGAAACCGAGGGGGCGGGTGAAGGGGATGGCGACGGCAAGGACGGTGAGAAGCGAGTCAACGCGATAACGCAATGTTGCCGCTGCGGCTGCCACCCAGAAGGCTGCGGTTGACACTCACGATCGGACTGCCGCAACAAAAACCGCGAAAACCAAGACCTCCTCGGCCCAGGAACCTTCCGCGCCTCATGCGGAAGCGCAGCCTGCTGCTGGCGCGAACGTGGGAGTGGGCCCAGGAACGCGAGATACTGGAGACGAGGATTCGAATGTTCCGCGCCACACGTTATCCGAGCTGCTGACCTGGCCAGTGTTGACGCTCGCGCACGAGGTTGTCCGGCTGGAAGGTGCTTTGGATGATTCGATTCAGGCTCAGTACGACGCGGATCACGCCCTCAAGCTTCAGCGCAATCGGATTCGCGGCCTTCTGAATGATCTTCAAGTCCAGAAGGACAATCTGGACGCAGCCATTACGAAAACGGGCAAAATTGCAACGCGGTTTCAAGAGGCAGAGGAAAGATGGGCGCGGACAGTCGAGGGCTTGATCCAGGAGCTAAGGGTTGAGCGTGGGTCTGCGACTGTGTAGCGCGAGGCCGCGGAGCGTACGTTCCGTAGGTTGGAGGACACGATGGTGGGACTGAGGGCTTTGATTGCGGAGTCGATTTCGGAGGCGGTGGCGCGAACGCGTTACGAGATCGCCCCGTGGGGAAGGATGGGGACGTTCGAGGCAGGTGTAGCGACCGCCGCGGACCGTGGATGTGGAAGCATGAGGATGGTCACCGGACCCTTGCGCATGGAACCCGCGGAAGCAACTGGGAGCGAGGATCGTGGAGGGAAGAGGCCACCAGGGATACCGACACCCCGTTCACCCTCGCCGCCCCCCAAGAAGGCGAAGGGCTCGTCCGAGCAACCGGAGGCCCGAGAACCTGGCCGCGGGAGTTTGGCTCAGAAGTCCAAGATCGCGGCTGCGCCTGTCAAGAGGACCTCGGCGATCGCGTCTGGAACTGGAGGGCAACCACCAGCTGGAGGTGCCGCGATCCAGCAGGCTGTTGTGCCCTTGCTACAGGGCGCAGAGGAAATCCCTGACGCAGATGCGGAGGCAACGGAGGCCATGCAACAGTGGTTGTCCATGGTTCAGCACACAGAGAAGGCGGACGCGAAGGGAAGCGCGAAAGGAAAGGAGAAGGAGGATCCGAAATGGGGTGTTGGTATACGGAAAAACTCGCGTGGCTTGTTCACCTTGGAGCTTCACCACTCGTGTCGCTGGTACTTTGGTTCCCACGCTAAGCTCCCTGCCGTGCGGTTTCTGTGCGCGGTGGCACAGATGGTGTGGAATCAGCAGATTCCCGAGGACAAGCTGGTTTTGACGGACGATGAAGAAGAGGAGTGGACCCCCGATCTTGATGTGGCGCGAATTCTGCACCCTGGAGTTTTCGCGGTGCTTTATCTGCGAGGTGCCTGCGCAAGCCCCGAAAGGTCAGTAACGTCTGGTTTCCGCTGTTCGCGCGATTTCTTTATACAACACGCCACATTAATGTATCGCTGTAACGCTTGCAGGTTTCGAGCTGTGATCTCACGATACAGGACTTTGAAGGAGGAAAACACGGAAGCGAGCGACGAGGTCGCCTTCTCTGCTGCGGTTGGACTTGAGACCGTGGCGGACGAGTCACCCGCGAAGGGCAAGAAATCTGTGCCCGCTGGAGCTGGGGGTGTGGCGTTTGTTTGCGCGGTTTCCTGGATGGAGTGTAAGGGATTTGATCGAAAGACCGCGGAAGCGAGCGCGAAACAGGCCGCGCTGTTTGCAGGAGCGAACAATCTGACCGCGGTTCTTTACCTCGCGGTTTGGAAGCATATCGTTACGGCAGCGACGAAGGGACATGATGAGGCTAAGATCGAGCTCAAGGTCGCGAAATATTTCGAGAACGCGAAGAAAGTCGCTATCACGAAAGATGAGAAGAGCATCATTCACGAGCAGGTGGACGTGCTGAGAACCTGGAGCTTCGACCCAGATGCCGCTAAGAAGATGCGGGCGCTGGGCTTGTATATCGAGTGCGGTGACGATCGCGCGAAGGCCAAGAATCGTGACGTTAGCCGGTCGCGTGTAAAAAAGACTGCCGCGAAATCGGACGAAGAAGAAGGTGGCTCCCATCCGATTGTTGATCTTGACGACGAGGATCCGGAGGATTCGTGATCGCGGCATGGTTTTCGCGCAATGCTGTTTGAGATTTTAGAAACCGTGAATTCGCTCCTTCGTTTTCGTTCTTAAATCGGATTGTGCTACAGTTGTTTTGGTGTGAACCGGGGTTTTTTCCCGTAATGTCTAGAGTCCCGAACTGAATCTTGATTGCTGAGGGCTAAAAGATCAGATTAACTCGAAACAGAACTGCACGGAAGAGTCTAACAGTTGCGAATCTCTGGGAACACTCGGCAGTTTATCATACACGAACAGACTCAAAAAACAAAATCAGGGTACGCGCTTTCAAGATTCGCGCGGCCTTTTGTTAGAATCGTTCGGGGTAGTCTCGGTCGGGTCATTCGTGGTATTTTCGTTCGCGTCCTTGAAAAACACACTCCAGCATTTCGGAAACATCGTCTTGCCCCATTCCTCGTCCTCAAAGCCACGCGTGACAAGTTCCACAGCGACTTTCACTTTCTCCATGGCCGGTTAGTTCTTTCGCAGCGAGTCGGCCTTTTCGTTGCAGGGCTTTGACGTCTTGCACGTCAGCCCGTCACGAAGAACCCCGAATCCGAGACGCGAGCCAATGTCTTCCAGAATTGGAATCACTTCTTCAGTCGCGCCACCACGTGAATTCGCGTATTCCGTCACATCAGCCATCAATCTTTTTTGCCGCGTCATTGCCGAGTCTTCTGACTTTACGAGCTCGTACTTCCCCGTGAAGCCACCTTTCCCGACCTCGTCCCGAAGTGTCAGTCCCGTTTCCCCGAAAGGCCAGCACCATATCCGCCACGCTTCCTGGACGGTGCCCGCCTTGATCCAAGGTCGAAACCGCTCTTTCTTGAAATCCTTCCCCGCGGCGTCGAGTGGGGGTCGGGGGGGCGGGTCAGGCGCGGTTTGCGGCGTCTCTTGGACGCGCGAGGAAGAAGCATTGACGGACAGTGCCGCGATTTGTTGTCGCGCTGCTTCCAGTTCCTTCCGCAGCTCTGCCGTTGTCCGCCTTTCGGATTCCAGCTCTACGATTTTGGCGCGGTGTGAATCCTTCACCATGTTCAGCTCCGTTGTCAGTTGAACGCAGCGATGTTCCGAGTGCAATCGTCGGGACACCTCCTGTGAGGAAGAGGACATTCGTAAGTACTAGTGCGCGAAGGATTGAAATTGTTTTTCTAATGCGCGAAAATTTAGTACTCTCACCGCTTGTGTACACATGGTTGGCGAATTCCGCAGCGCAATTCCAGCCTCGTCACTCCACGCGACCTCACGCGCCCAGGCCCGAAAAATCGGATCCTTGCACAAGTTCGAGGCCCTCACGTATGGGTGCGCTGGGTTGTTCACGAGCATCATGGCCAGGTCCTCGGCCACAATCCTCCTTCCAAAGTCTCGGAGGGCTTTCAGGAACTGAACAGCAGCGATGTCTTGTTTCGATGAAGGCCCAGAAGCGTTGCGACGTCTCACCTGCAAAAATTGTTTTCGAGTCTCAATAAAACGTGATTAACGAGCACGAAACAAGTAAAGGAAGTGGCACCACGGTACGCACCAACTCCAGCTGTTCTTCCACAAAAGGGAAGATTTCGCGCCGGAACAGTTCCCGGAGGTAACGGCTCGGTGGAACCTTTGAGCGGCCGATGTGATAGTCACCCGCCAGACCCGTGTATCCAGCAGATCTGAGAACAGCGTCTCGCGCCACGTTTGGGAGATAATGCTTCGTCAGAGCATCTGATGTCCAGTTGCCCTGCCTTTCGATCTCCTTGTCCGAAACACCCATCATTGAGAGAATATGGGCGTTGGATGCTCGTGCAGCGTGTGTGACGCGGTGTATCTCGATATCCGCCATATTGAACCCGTGCTTAACCCAGTCGTGATACGTTGGGTGCGAAACGGGCTCCCGGTTCTGCTTCCCTTCGTGGTTATTGAAGAAGAGATACAGGTCGTACCATCTCTTGGGGTCCGTACAGTCGAGAGGTGGTACGAAATGTTCGCCGTCCTCGTAGAACCGAGGCACCTGATCGTATACCCAGTGAAGTAAGCGGAAAATATGCCCGACAGGGCATATCATGTAGTCGATGTTTCGCGCTGCACTGTAGTTGTGGATCCCGAAATTCTGGAGAGTTTTGCCGTTTCGCGTCACGATCGTAACTATATCCGCGTCATTCACTGGGTCCGTCTCATCCTCACCGCCGAACTTGCTGAAGTGAAGGTCCGGAAGTTGAATTTCACGGACCGTGCCTGCGCGACACAGCGTGTGATGGCTGACTAGGAGCTTCACGTTCGCGAATAGGGCTCTGTTTAGAACACTTGATGGCTGTGGGTGTCTGGGATTGAATCGTTCTATCGCATCCCCGGGACAGCAAAATCGCATCATCTTCTTGAACTCCGCCAGCGTGTAAACGTCCGCGGTCGTGCCCTTGTGGCGATCCAGGTACATCCTGCATATGAAAGGATTGCGAACACATTCTTTATCAGAACCAAGAATTCACGGTCACTTTCAGAGTTTAACGCGAATGGCACGGAACTTACTCCTTGAACTTCTTGTATTGCTGGCGCATCATGAGGGACACCACGACTGCAACCTCGTCCACATTTGTCGTGAGGTCCTCTCCCTCCAGCAACACCGTCTCTGCCCTGCAGTGGGTCTTCAGCGCGGTGAACCGGGCTTTGACCATTGACACGCTGCATGCAACTCTTTTACGAATCGGAGTCTTGGGGTTTAGCCTTGCAAGCATTCGTGCCTGTTTAGGTGACTCCGTCGAGCAATACGTGATGAACATTTTCAGCCGCCAGCGTGTAATTCGCGGCCCATGGAACAGACAGTCCTCATCGGGTGCTGACTCCCACGCTTCACCCAGGTCCATCCCAAGCAAATAGCCCACCTCATCTTTATGTTTCATTTTCGCGTCTTCAGGAAAGTCCTCCCGTAGGAGATGTGGAGCCTCGTGAGCAAACCAGCGTTTGAACTCCCTTATCGCGGCGACGTATTTTTTCCGCGTTTTGGGGCTCAACACCTGCAAGATGTTGCGGACGAAATGCAATTTCGAGCTAACGCCAGTGCTCGCGGGAAGCTTCATCCAGTCGGCTATCGCCTTGTCGGTAATGAGACTCTCCACCCTCTCCACACCAGTCAACATTTCGTTCAGTTCCGCTGCTTCTTGGGGCCCTATCTCGATACTATGAGGACGAATTTCATTCTCTGGTGTGCCACCGCCACCTCCTGCAGCACCGTCCCCCGTTCGCTTTCCTGGCGGTCTCAGATTCAGATCAGGCATCGCGTCATCTTCGTCATCCTCGTTATCCTCCACATCTGCGTTTGTGCCCTGTGGCTCCGTCACGCGCTCCTGTTCTTCGCGGTTGGCTTCTGTAACGGACGTTCGCGGATCAATCTGGGGCCGTCGTGGGTGAGATGGCTCTGCGGTCCGTGGGGCTGCAGGCCCAGACATGCCAAGGTTCGCAGGTTCGGCGAATCTGACACTGCTGCCCTGAACGCGTTCGGAGTTCTGAGCGATCGGAATGCCAAGAGCGTTGCTGTTCACGGCTGTTGCTGTTCGTGGCTGCATGCTGGGAATCGCCATGTTCGCGGCTGTCTGAGTCGGTGGGTGCGCGAAACCTTCTCCGCTGGGTGACGCCAAGTTCGCGGCGGATTGTGTCGGTGGGTGCGCAAAACCTACTCCGCTGAAGCGTTCGTGGTCGGAATGCTGTGCGGTCGGCATTCCAAAAAGAGTGTCGTTCGCGGCTGTTCCTGTGTGTGGCGGCTGCATGCTGGGTAGCGTCCAGTTCGCGGCAGTCTGGGTTGGTTGTTACGCGAAACCAATTCCGCTGTAACGTTCGCGGTTGGGATGCTGTGCGGTCGGCATACCAAAAGTAGTGCCGCTCGCGGCTGTTCCTGTGTGTGGCGGCTGCATGATGGGTACCGTCCAGTTTGCGGTAGTCTGGGTTGGTTGTTGCGCGAAACCAATTCCGCTGTAACGTTCGCGGTCGGGATGCTGTGCGGTCTGCATACTAAAAATAGTGCTGTTCGCGGCAGTTCTTGTGTGTGGCGGCTGCATGCTGGGTACCGTCCAGTTCGCGGCATACGGGGTGGGTTGTGCGAAACTAATTTCGTCGCGGTCGGGATGCTGTGCGGTCGGCATTCCGAAAATATTTCCGTTCGCGGCTCTTTCTGTGTGTTGCTGCATGCTGGGTGCCGTCCGGTTCGCTGCTGTCTGTGTCGGTGGCTGTTCGTGAGGTCTACCAATGTTCGTGGTCGTCCTTGGCGTTCCCCATGCGTTACCCGTTCGTTGCGGTGCTGGACGGTGGCTTCTCGCTACCGAAGCAACCCTCTCCATCACGTCATGAGGGCTTTGCGTTGCTGCTGCGTTCGCGGTGCCGGGTGGTGTCGGGCCGGGCTGCTGTGCTGTCGGGATGAAACGCGAACGCTGGGGGTGTTTCTGCGACCGGCGCGGCATGACTACGAAGAGACGAATTTGGGAGGATAGCACATAACACACGTACCGATGAAAGGTTGATGATGCCAAATCGGCTAAGTCCTTTTGCACTCTCCGAGGTGCAGGTGATCGTGGAAAAAGAGGGCTAAAATGAACTGACCTCACATATTTATACGCAGCACTGTCCTCCCGTCCGTTGGTGCATATGTTCCCTAGACGTTGTCCGGCAGCGCGTTCCAGAACACACGGAAGAGTATGACTCAGCCCCTCTCTGCATGGCTCGAAACATACATTCCCGCTCATGCTATTTTCGCGTTGCGCGCGATTCAGCCGTTGGATCACTTTGGGCTCGTTTCATGTCGCGCTTGTTGGTGCTCTGGCACATGGCCATCACTGTCAGTTCGACAAGTGGCACGAACGGAATTCGTGGCCCTGGCTTCCGTCCAGCTCGGCGGCTTTCCACCCCTTTTTCGTGCGGTGTCGTCGTCGCCCGGATGCTGCTGCGAAATCGCTGAGCCATTTCGCCTTTTGATCCGAACTCGCCGCGTCTCATCGTGCGATGCGTGAGTGGGCGACACGTGGCTTGCGACGGGGGAACTTGGTTCCCCCTGGGGTTTCTGCGGGTTTTCAACGGCCAGTAATCCGTTCGGTAACCCGTAGGTATTCCCTAGGGCCGTCGGGGCGAGGGAAAAGTTTTCCTCAGCGAGGGTCCCTTTGGAATCCCTCGCGGCATGCAGCCTCCCTCGCTCACTGGCAGATGCGTGTCCGCCTTTCCCGCCCGAATCCGTCCCGTCGCCTGTTTCACGTGCGCGGATCCGCGGGAAAAAACACTGTACATATGTATTAGATGGCGTTTCTAAGCTTGTCCAGCATGGCACCCAGCATGAACGTGGCACTCAGACAGCTAGACACGTCACTGGCATTGTTTCGCATGAGAAATTTTCTTGCAAAAGAACGTGTTCAGTTGGATGTGAGTAAAGAATTCCGTCAAGGTTGCGCGTACGGAGGAAAAGAAATGAAGGGGATTAGTCAGTAACTCCAGAGTAATTAACAGTATCTTTACAAAAGTATCTGTAAGTACCGCGGGACCAACACAGATTCAGTGTTGCCAACACGCCCTGATTCGTACATCCATCAAATTACATTAGTGTGTTGCATGCATATCTGCAATCCAGAGCCATTCCTTCACGCACTGAGAATCCATCTGACCTTTCAGCTACATCGTTGGCTTGCAGCCCCCAGCTATTCCTCCGCGCGTGACGCGCGAACGTTCGCTTCCACCATGAGCCCTTCCGCCCTCGTTCCGCAATCCGCCGTGGCCGCGCGAATGTCCGCGCATCTTGCCCCCTCCGCGTCCTCCTCGCGCTCTCTCCGCTCTTCCCCTTCATTCCCCTCTTCCAGCGCCGCTTCCGCATCCTTCTCCGCTTCCCCCTCCCCATCCTCGTCCCGCAAATCAGCCTCCCGAGCTGCGTCCTCCTCACCACTCTCCGCGATCTCCAACGGCGGCGCGGGGCCGCTTTTCCGCCGTCGCACCGCCATGCAGCGGCTCGGTGGGCTTCTCCTGCCGCTGATTGGCTCCGCGGGGGCGGCTGGGCCTGCGGTGGCGCGATCGAAGGTCTCGGGAGCAGAAGAGGTGAGCGCGCGTGGCGGACTGACGTACAACCGTAGAGGTTTAGGCGAATAAGAGGAGTCACTGGCAGGCGTCACAAGGGGTGACTAGTAGCGGTCACTGGGGGGCTAGCAGTCGTTACTAGGTCACTGGCGGGCTAGCAGTCGCTACTAGGTGCCCAATAATCTCGTGTTGCGCTGGAACATGGGGGTCGCTCAAGGAAGAGAAAACCTGAGCAACACCAACCAGAAGGATGTAATGTAGCATTTACTACCAGCCGGAAATAGCCCAATTAGACTCTCTGTAATGGTGCATTCGAGCCCGATGCGCGTGGCGCTAGTGCAACACCGGAATGCGTTGGCGCGTTTTGGTTAGTGGACCCCCCTCCCCCAACCCCTTGTTTCCTCTCTTTCCCCTCCCCCACGCCGCCCCCTTTCCTGCTCATCTCCACCCCGTTCCCTCTTCCCTCACTACCTCGACCCCCAATTTCCCCTCCCCCCACGCGTGGACGATCCCCCCGCGGTAGGTGCTGCGGAAGGCGGAGTGGCCGGCACAGTTCCCCTTCTCCGCGGAGGACTTCAGGCGATACGACGAGTGAGTGCTGTTCCGCTGCACGCGAGATTCCTCAAAAAAGGCTGGTTGTTGTTCCGATGCCTCCCGGAAAAGCTCTGAAAACCGGTGACTGTGGAGCAAACGAGTTGACTTTTGAGTTGACTCTAAAGTCAACTCGATGGCTCCCGGAAAAGCTCTGAAACCCGGTGACTGTGGAGCAAACGGGAGTGCTGAAACAATGAAAGTATCTTCGCATCGCATCCCCAAAGACTGGTCTCTTTGCGGCAACAAAGTTTTCTGCGGGCGCATGCATTTGCTTCGCCCATAGGTGGTGCCTGGGAAGCTGGTTGTGAGGCGCCTCAGTAGTACCCTTTCTGGTGATCCGTGCACTCGCTAACCAAGTGGTGATCGTGGCTCTCTGGGAAGAGGATGGAAGGGATGTGCAGCAGTGTGTGCCACACTTCCCCGTGCCACACTTCCCCGTGCCACACTTCCCCGTGCCACACTTCCCCGTGCCACACTTCCCCGTGCCACACTTCCCCGTGCCACACTTCCCCGTGCCACACTTGCCACCTCCGTGAGTGCAGGAGGAGAAGTGCTTTCCTCCGTTCCGCTCTCCTTCCACCTCTTCCCACCCCTTCCACTCCACCCGCTTCCAGCCCTCCCTACCTATCCTCGTTCCCTCGTGCTCCTCACGGTGTTCGACAAGTCGATTTTTGAGTCGACTCAAAAATCGACCTATCCCCGTTCCCTGGTGCTTCTCACTTTTGAGTCGACTCAAAAGTCACCTCGCTTCCAGCCCTCCCTACCTATCCCCATTCCCTGGTGCTCCTCACGGTGTTCTACTCCATGCCGTTTCCCTCCCTCGTTTCATCTTTCCACCTCTTCCCACCTTTCTCCACCCCTCTCTACCTATCCCCTGGCGCCCCCCAGGACGCCAGACACGGTGTTCTACTCCATGCCGCGCTTCGTCACGCACATTGACGACCCTGCCATCCGCGCCCTCACCAACTTCTACCGCGAGAACCTCCCCCCGCCCAACAAGCCGGGCGTTGCCGTGCTCGACATGTGCAGCAGCTGGGTGCGTTGGGGGGGGGGGGGGGAGGAGGGGGGGGGGGAGGGGGTCTGGAAGGGTGGGAGGGAGGTATAGAAAGGGGGGTATGAGGTTTCCTAGCTGCTGTTCAACACGCCTGGCGTCGCCGTGCTCGACATGTGCAGCCGCTGGGTGAGTTGGGGGGACTTTTAATTCGACTCAAAAGTCACCTTACAGCAGCTGGGTGGGTGCGTTGGGAGATGGGGGGGAGGGATATCTGGCCTGCCCGCCTGTGTTGCTTGTTGCAGCCAATTGCTTTTCTTCTGCATAGGGAGGAGTCTTGGAAAGAGAAAGAAACAAAACATTCATAATCCTTCGTGGGATAGGGTGTGATTGAGATTTGAGTTGACTCAAGTCAAAAGCAGCATTTCGTTTGGAGGTACACGCAGTCAAGCCAACCTCCCTCCCCCCTATCCTTTCCTTCCTTATCGCTCCAATCTCCCCTGTCCCCCCCCCCCCCGGGCACGCAACAGATCAGCCACTACCCCAAGGGGTATAAGCAGGAGCGCGTGGTGGGCATGGGGCTCAACGAGGACGAACTCAAGCGCAATGAGGTGTGCTAACCGGTGCTGCTGGGGTGCTGCTGGGGTGCTGCTGGGCGGTACTGGGGTGATGTTGTTGCTGAGTGCTACTAGGGTGGTGTGCTGATGCGTTTAGGGGATGGAAGAATCCGATCCGCCTGTGTCTGTCTGTCCTCTGTCTGACTCAAAAATCGTCTCACGAAATGTCTGAACCTGGTGCACCAGGTGCAAGACATCAACGCCAACACGAACGAGGCTGCCCTGCTCTCCCTGCTGCTCTCCCTGCTGCTCTCCCTGCTGCTCTCCCTGCTGCTCTCCCTGCTGCTCTCCCTCCTGCTCTCCCTGCTCTCCCTGCTCTACCTTTTCCTTGCCTGTGTGCCCGCCCACACCAGGTGTTAACAGAGTATCTGGTGCAAGACCTCAACGCCAACACCAAGCTGCCCTTCCCAGACAACACATTTGACGCCATCACCAATGCTGTACGTCCCTCTTACGACTTCTCAGAAGCACTCCAACGAAGCACTCACCGATGCGTCCCTCTTAGGACTTCAGAATCATTCTCCAATGCGCTTGACGCCATCTCCAATGCCGTACGTCCCTCTTAACGCTTTTCATATGCTCACTGAAGGATCACCTTTCAGAATCATTCTCCAAAGCAAAGTGACCCGAAAACATTCCAAAAGCAAATGCCTTTTGAGACGTCTCAAAAAAGCATATGTAACCATCCTGGCTGTTTCTGAATCACTTTTGAGAAGTCTCAAAAGTGATCCCGTACTCCACCCTTTCCACCTGCCTCTGACACAGGCCAGGTGTTAACAGAGTACCTGGTGCAAAAGCCCAGATTCTTGACACACCACTCCCCGGAATCCCCCCAAGCCATCTCCCCTCCCCATAACTCTTCTCTCTCCCCTCTTTCCTCTCTCGCCCCTCTCTCCCCTCCTTCTTCCCCTCCCTCCTCCCTTCCCCCATCCACCATCTCAGGTGAGTGTGGACTACCTAAGCCGCCCTCTCGAGGTCTTTCAGGAAATGCAGCGCGTGCTCAAGCCAGGGGGCCTGGCCATAATGAGCTTCTCCAACCGCTGCTTCTGGACCAAGGCCATCCAGATCTGGACTTCAACCGGGGACATAGACCACATCCTCATCGTTGGCTCCTACTTCCACTACGCTGGCGGCTACGAACCCCCCCAGGTAAGGCATGGCCCTGCTAGGTGAAGCCTGCGCTCCCCTGCCAGGTGAGCCCCAGCCCCTGCAATGCAAGCGTTCTTGTCGCCCCTGCAGGCATTGACCATATTCTCATCGTTGGCTCCTACTTCCACCACGCTGGTGGCTACGAGCCCCACCCCGGCCCTCCCACGCTGCCCCTCCCCCCTGGTGAGCCCCACCCCATGCAAGCGTTCTTTTCATCCAGGGGGGAGATCAGTCACATTCTCATCGCTGGCTCGTACTTTCACTATGCTGGCTCAGCTACGAGGCACCCCAGGTGAGGCCTGCCCGCCCCAGGTGAAACCTGCCCGCCCCAGGTGAAACCTGCCCGCCCCAGGTGAAACCTGCCCGCCCCAGGTGAGCGCCCTGCCCCCCAGTGAGCCCCACCCCATGTGAGCGTGTCTTTCATCCACTGGGAGGATCGTTCTTTCACTGTGCTACTGGCTACGAACTCCCCCAGATGAGGCCTGCCCGACCTAGTTGAGACCTGCCCCAGGTGAGACCTGCCCCACATGAGACCTACCCCAGGTGAGCTCCTCGCATATGAGCTTTTTTTATCTTGGGCTGATCCTTGCTCTTACAGATAAAGCACTCCCTTGTGTTGTTGTTTTAGTAGTTTTAAATTTGTTGTGAGGGTGAACCTTACTCATGGTAGTCTCTTCGGAGGTGATTCTTCCTGTGTGGATTTTCCTCTCTGGGCTGGGTGAATCTGTAGCTAATCAGGGAATACAGCACCAGATGGGTGAGGAATTAAATACTTTGATTGTGGTCTGATGTTGTTATATCCCATTCCGTTGTTTAGGCCTCCCAGTTCCTGTTTGCCCAAGTCTGCTCTCTTTTGTTTTTGTTTTTTTTTTTTCCGGTTCCCATGCAAATGTGCTCATTCTCACCACTACCCCAACAGGCCCGGGATATTTCTCCCAATCCCGGCAGAACAGATCCCATGTACGTAGTGTATTCGCGGAAGCTTTCAGCATAGAATTGCCTGTCTGACATTAATTGATATTGTGTAGTGTCATGTGCGAAAGGAAGTATAATTCCACACTGTAGTAGCGAGGATATCCAGAAGTTAACGTCCACGCTCCAGCTGGTCTGGCCTACAATCTTGCTCCTAGCCACCCCTGACACGCCCCGCACCAATCGTACATCCTTAACACGAGGTGCTATTACATATGCCGCTGGAATGTTAGACTACATTTAGCTTGTGTAGGTGAGAGAAGCTAGACTACATTTATATGTTAAGATATTACAACGTAGGTGAAAGCTGACATGACATGAAAATTTACCCTTCTATAATCGTCGATGATCAACACTGAAATCACCCTGCCCAAACACTCGCCTCGCCAATAGTGCAAGTGCGGAAACGGAGAATACCGTCGCGTAACCTTACTGGGCATATCCCCCCGCTCGGACGCGCAATGCCGCGAGGATCTTGGGTCTCAATTGTTGTCCGTGTTTGCATCCACCAGTAGTAGCGCTGTGCAGCATGTGCAGCTGAGCTGGATGGGAACCGGAGAGGATAACATCGAAAGATCCGACTCTGCCGACACGTCACGATCTTTCCTTGCTCAATCTGTTTCCAACTTGACGGGAAATGGGATGGGCTGACGTGGTGGTTCATTCATAGGTCTCTTTATGCGAATAACCCTCGACGGAGTAGGTGCCAACAAACGCTGTCAGCTTTGTTTCTTCGCCTTTTGTTGCTTTCAAGCTTTCTAACATTCAGAAGTGCGACGTATGTCTCTGTTTTGTGAGCTTTCAACTTCCACTTTCCCAAAAGCTGGGAGCTGACCGAACGTCGGGTGGGAAGGAAGGAACCGAGGTTTGCGCAACATTGGATCTCCGCCATCATCCCGCTCCGCCCTCAACGGGAGCACAACGCGCGCTGCTGTTGGTAGAAGCCAGTTACTTGAATGGAAGCCACCCTGCAGAGCCGTTCTCTGACCCTCACCACCCCCCCAGAAAGAACAGAATCCCACAATACACCCATCCCGGTCAGGGCTGTCGCTTGGTCTGGGTCTAAACCTTACGAAGCTGAGCTGGCCCGAAACAAGCCCTGAAGCATCCGGACAGCAGTCGAATCTAGCCCTTAAATTCAGGCCATTTGGATTCCTGCCCTGAGCCACATGCGCCAGAATGCTAAGTAACTCTAGGTACTACTCTACCGATCAGAGCACGCTGGTGCGGGTGAGTAGAGAGGTTTGGGAGGAGGAGAAGTGGGACAATTGCACGGTCGAAGGTCAGGAAGAAGGGGAGGAATTTGGGGGGGGGAAGGGGAGAGCAGGTACGGGAAATCCGGGGAAGGCTCCAAACCCGTCCGTTAGGAATACGGGCCAGGAAAAAACCAACCCTGAAAAACTCTGAGCTGAGTTGAAACGAGCCCTGAATTCTCAGGGAAAACGGGCAAATGCCCGTGAATCGACAGGCCTGATCCCGGTCTCCCATCGATCAGGAGCGGAATATGGTGGGTGATGAGAGGGTGATATTTCAGTTGAAAACCACCCTTTAAGGCAATGTGTCTGCTTTGAAAGGGTGACATGCTTGTACTGTGCACTACGGTGAATACGGACCCAAACACTTAACAGAAGGTGGAAGGCTCGATTCCAGCCCTGCGTTCTCAACGAGACTCTACTAAGAGATTTCGGCTGATGGATAAATTGGGAGTGGGAACGGGTTTTGTCATCACTAGCTAAAACTCAAACAGTGAGAAGATCCCCCATCTGGAGAACAAACATGATTAATTAAGGGCCCGTTACTCCACAGTATCCGGAGAGGGCTTTGTGGACAGAGTGGATTTAAACACGGACCGGGACCAAGCACAGTGCTAGGAAACCGACGCATGGAGTAGACCAGGTTTCCTGGATTTCCTTATCTGTAGTATAGTTTCTCAAAATACCCTGATCATGGGTGAAAACAGCTACAGCTCCTGGCCTACCCGTCATCCCATCCCATTCGCCCAACTGGTCTGCTGGTCTGCTCGTTCCCTCAAGCGTGTCCCTCCATCCCCCAGAACACCCACCACACCATTCTCACCAAACGTTGTTCTCCTCGTGCGAAGGACGGATTTTAGCCCTCTTTGCGATTCTAAGTTCAACACGTTGCATTTACGCATGACTGCCGTTTCTTTGGCGTGTCCTTCCATGGCGTCCATAGCTTCCCCCCATTCAACGGCAGCGGTAGCCGCGTCCCACGGCACAACATCGTCTGGGAATCGCAGAAATGGCGGCTTCGGGCTACGGAAGGTTTCCCATCAACTACCGACCGCTGTCCTAACACTGCCACTTTGCGCCGAGTCCCGCCAGTCCGTAACGGCTACCGGAACAGCCGGCGCGATTCGGCCTTCTCTCCGCGCCTCTGACCGGATATCGTTCCGCGGAAGCACGATCGGCGGAAGTGGACTGCTGAGGGTTGTGAAGTGCGCGCCACGCCACGTGTGCATGAGTCAGCCGCCATACGGGTTCGGACCAGCCGAGCCGCCCCAGGACGAAGATGACTATGTGGAGGCGCATGTGCTGGATGCAGGTAAAACTGCGCGAGCACTGCCTTCCTCTTCCGCTTCTCTCTTTCCCCATCCTCTCTCCTTTCCCCCATTCGCTCCGCTCTTTCCCTCCCTGAACCACACACAACACACCCCACTTTCCCCGCCATCCCCACCCAACCCACCCCACCTCCCCCCCATCCCCCCCCTCCCCCACTCCTCCCCCCCTCCTCTTTCTCTCTCTCTCCCTTTTTTCTGAATTTCTCGGTGTCTATATCCTCCCACGCTCATCCCGCCCTTCCCCTTTTCTCCTCGTCCGCCATACTGCCCGTTTCTTGCGCATCACCGCATTCCGCCCTTTTCAACTCCTCTCACCCTCTCCCCGTTCCGTATTCCCTCTACTTCCTCCGACCCCACCCCTCTCCGCGCCACCGCCCGTTCTCCGCGTTCTCCTCCCGTCTATATCCGTTTGCGCTCGCATTCGTCATGGCATCGGCGGCCCGGCGGCGGCGGCGGTGGTGGCGGCGTGCGGCGCGCGCAGTTCGCATGGTGCCGTGCGCGGAGTCGCTGCGCATGGCGATGAGCGACGGCACGGAGCTGGAGGTGCGCCACGTGCACGCGACGGCGGGGCGCCTGCTGTACCCGCACGCCACGCCCGCCATCTTCCTAAAGATCGCCAACGCGCCCGACCTCGTGCTGCCCATCGTCGTTGGTTAGTCCTCCGCTCTCGTCCTTTCCCTTCTCGCTCTCTCCGTTCCCGCTCCTCTCCGCTCCCGCTCCTTTCCTTTCCCGCTCCTTTCCTGCTCCTTTCCCCTCCCGCTCCTCCCTCGTCCCGTTTTCCGCTACCCTCTCCGCCGGCACACCTTCACCCTCGCGGTTCTTCTTCCTCTCTCGTCTCCTCCTTCCGCTCTCCCCACTCCCACGTTCTTCTGTTTTCCTTTCGCTCTCTCTCTTATCCTCCGCCAAACGATTGTCTCGCTTATCAAGTCGTTTCTGCGCATCCCGACGCGCATCCCCGCTCCTCTCCGCCCGTGCTGACATCCCTTCCGCCTGCTCCCCGTGTTCCCCGCCGACTCCCTTCCCCCACCGTCCTCCCCCCCTTCCCCCGTGCAACTTGTTCGTGCGCCCGTGCATGTCCTTGCGTGTCCGTGTCCGTGTCCGTGTCCGTGCACGTGGGCGTGCAGGCGAGCTGGCCATCGGGCTTCTCATGAAGGCGTTTCGTCGCGAGCACGCAGTGAGTGCTCCGCCGCTCGCCATGCCCTCCTCCCTCCCGCCATGCCCTTTCCCGCCTGCTGCGTTTACTTCCGCTCCATTTTCAAGTGCGCTGCTTCTGTCAGTCTCCAGTCGTTTGAGTCAGTTCAAGGAATTCCCATTTTCTCTCGTTACATCCTTCTGCGTACCTTTCCGCCTTCTGCTCTATCGCGTCGCGTGAACCATTCTCGCCTTCCCATCGCATCGATGTCATCCCGAAGCCGATTTTTGAGACCTTTTAAAGATCGCCAGGGCTTTCCTCCACTCCCCTTCCCGCTCGTCTGCCCCCCCGTTTCCTTCTCTCGCTTCCCCCCTCCCCAACCCCCCGTTTTCCAGATTTCCTCCACATTCACCCTTTTCCCCCTTTTTCCCCCGTTCCCCGCCTCTTCCCCCCCTCTCCCGCATCCGTTCCCCCTCTCCCCGTTCCCCTCCCCCCACACCTCTCCTTCACTTCCCTGACTCGCGGCCACGTGGGTACAGGCGCGGCCCAACCACTACGACGTGATGACGGAGATGGTGCAAGCGCTGCGATATGAGGTACGGACGGACGGGGAGGGCGCGTCGCGGGAGGGAAGGGGAGGTGGTGGGAGGTAATGAGAGGTAATGAGAGGTAATGAGAGGTAATGAGAGGTAATGAGAGGTAATGGTATGTAATGGGATGGAGATGGCACGCAGTGATTGGTTCACGGTCGCCTCTCTTGCTCTTGCCTGTCTTCCTGCTCTTGCGTCTCTTCCTGCATGCTTTCTACTGCTCATACTCCCCACAGGACAACTCCTCTCGCTCTGCTCTTTCTCACCTTCCGCCTCTCCTCGTTCCGCCTCTCCTCGTTCCGCCTGATCCCGCGCTCATCCTGCCTCTCGCCCCCTTTTGCCGTCTTCCCCCTTCTTCCCCCCACTCTCCCCTGCTTCCCCCACCTCTCCCCCTACTCCCCACCTCACGCCGCGGCCTGTCCGTCTCCCCCACCCCTCTCGCACGCGCGCGCGGCAGGTGCGCGCGGTGAAGATCACGCAGCGCGTCATGGACACGTATTACGCGCGCGTCTACCTCGCCGCTGTAAGTGCCCGCCCGCCCACTTCGCGCCCCTTTTCGTCTCCGCGCCCCTTCTCGTCTCCGCGCCCCTTCTCTTCTCTCGCCGCTGGTCCGTCTCCCTCCGCCCCTCGTCCCTCTCGTCCCTCTCGTCACTCTCGTCCCTCTCGTTCCTCCTACCACGCCGGCCGTCGTTCCCATGGTCTGCCGTGCTTCGTGTCGCGCCTCTCTGCATCTTGTTCACTCACCCTACGCCTCCGCACTTCGAATCCCACTGTCTTGCCATCGCGTTTGCCCACCTGCCCCCCACCTGCCCCCCACCTGCCCCCCACCCCTGTCCCCTTCCTGCCCCTTCTTCCACCCATTGCCATTCCCAACTCCCCTGTGCGCACTGACATTCTCGCGGGCATCCCCATCACGCCGACCCTCTCCCGCTCCCTCTCCCCTCTTCCCCCTCCCCCCGCCTCCATCCGCACTTCCACCCTCCCTCACGCGCCCGCCTCCCCGCGCCCCCCGCTTCCCGCGCGTCTCTCCCGCAGCCGGACTCCCCCACATGCGTCGCGAGCGTGGACGCGCGGCCGTCAGACGCGATCAACCTGGCAGTGCGTGCGCAGGTGCCCATCCTCGTCAGTCGCGCCATAGTCCTTAGTGACGCCGTCCGCGTGGTTCCCGCGGGCGCGGAGGGGGGAGCGGCTGAAGGGGGAGCGGACGGGGGAGCGGAGGGCGGGAGGGAGGTGGGGAGGGAAGGCGCGGGCGGGAGGGGGAAGCGTGAGTATGGGGGGTTTGCACAACAGCTGGGCTTTCCGCATCACCACCAGCAGCAGCAGCAGCAGCAGCAGCAGCAGCATCATCAGCATCATCAGCAGCAACAGCCACAGCAGCAGCACCACCAGCAAGACTTTTTTGACGCTTTACATAGAGCAGCAGCAGCAGCAGCAGCAACACCAGCAGCAGCCGCTTTTGCAGAGTGGGCATGTGGGCGATCGGAGTAGCATGGAAAGGTGGGTGGGGATCTGGGAACGGATGTATACACATGCATGCACACACATGCAAACGCACATGCAGTCACGTACACTGATAGAAACACACATGCGTGTGCATTCGCTTATACAGAAACAAACGCGCATGCACACACATGCATGCACATGCACACGCGCCCATGCAGGCAAACGCACGTTGCTTTTAACATGCACTTTGTGCTCTCTCAAGTGTCTTAAGCAGTGTCTTCAAGCCCCTGTTGTGTGCATCTTTTCCCATGAAATTCCCCCTTCTCTCTCCTCACCCCCACATCTCTGCCTCCTTCTCTCCTCTCCTTTCACTGTCACTCTCTCTGCTCTAATGCATCCTTTCTTTCCCAGCCTGCAATAATGATCAGAACGAGTCTCACAATCTTTCTTCTTGCTTTGTTTCACCCTCTTCATATCCCTGCTTGTCCACCTGTGTGCATGCATGCATGCATGCGTCCCTTGCTGACGCCATGGTGGCAGCAGGGCTCCGGGGACAGGCGACGTGATAGCAGAGGAGATGGCGCTTATGACGGCCATGCATGCTGCTGCAAATGAAGAGAGATACGCCGATGCTGGTGCGGTTCCTGAAGTTGGGGATGTGGGGAAGGGGAGGAGGGGGTGGGGTGGGGAGATTTGCAGGGGTCACATGGATTGGGGTTGGATGGAATGTGGTTGGATGTGGAGGAAAGTATTTTTTTTTTTCATGTGTGGGATGGGATTGTTATTTGTATCTCCACATGCCGTGCAACGGAGTTTGAGGATGCTTGCTTGCTTGCTTCCTTCCCTGTTTTTCCTCCTTATGATGGCCTCCTTCCTTCCCGAGCTCAACCCCCATCCCCCTCGCCGCTCCTCCTGCCCTGCACTCCCCCTCTGTCCATGTGCCACCACCGCAGCTCGCCTGAGGGACCAGCTTCAGCTGCTGCGCATTCGCAACCGCAGGCAGCTGCACAACAGAGTATGACCCGCTTCCCATCCCAACCCTCATTCCAGTCTCCCCTCGCTTCCTTGCTGATCCGTGTGCCAGGGTCGAATGTCGTTGGCTCGTTCCTTTCGTTGTATTCAAAGTTTCACCTGCCTGCATCAGAACTGTTTCCACCACCATCTGCTCTCTCTCTCTCTCTCTCTCTCTCTCTCTCTCTCTCTCTCTCTCTCTCTCTCTCTCTCTCTCTCTCTCTCTCTCTCTCTCTCTCCCCCTGTCATCGTATGTTGATCAATCTATTCCTCCTGCTGCTCTCCCTTGCATCCCCTCCCGCTTTGCTCTCAAATTTTCTCCCTAACCCCCCCTCCCTTCTCACATTTTTCTTCCTTGCCCACCTTCTTCCCCCCCCCCCCCCTTTTCCTCCTTGACTGCAGTTCTGAACCCTAAGCTGCCGATGGCATGGCATCGATGATCGAATGCACCACTCGTTGAATTGTATTCCTACAGGCCATCTGCTTGAACCTGCAGCTATTGGCAATCGCACCCACCCATACCCAGCTTCACACCCACCACACCGCTTACCACACCTCCCATGCATCAGTGCACTTCCCTCCTCTTACCACACCTCCTACCCACTAGTACACTTCCCTCCTCTTACCACACCTCCTACCCACTAGTACACTTCCCTCCTCTTACCACACCTCCTGCGTACCACCCTGCGAGCTTCCAAGCACAAACCCTCCAACCGCAATGTACCGCGTGCCTGTTGCAACTAGTAGGTATATCATATCTACTCACGCCGCTGCCGCTGCTCCAGTGATCTGTAGAGCACAGCACAGCACACATACACAACACACACACCGTGCACTCACCTTGCATTCACGCCAGCCACCTGACCAGAGCAGCACCCTTGCATGGAGTTCCTGATCCTGACCCGTCATCAAGTTACTACTTGGATGGCGTACGGTATTCCATCCAGCGCTACATGCAGCAAAAGCAAGCTATCTAGGCGGGGAGAGAGGGATGGGGGGGGGGGGGGGGGGGGGGGGAAATGGGCAGTGTTAGCAGGGTAAAGTGGTGATGGGCGGGGGCAGGGTAGGGGGTTTTAGGGGTGATGCTGATTTTGATGTTAGGCCATGCTGGCTTTGAGATTCAAGTGCATCTGCACTGCAATGCGTGTGCGTGCATGGAACATGCTAACTGCTGCTGTGGCTTCAGCAGTAGTGTAAATAGAGTAGATTTTGCTTTTACATTAGGGCATTCTTGTATGGGGAGCTATGCACTGGTGCTGCTGTTTTGCGTTGTTTGCTGGGGCACATTCGGTACTGGCAGATTGTGCAGGTTGGTTAGATTGCTGAAAAGGGAAACTATAATTGACAGTATAAAACTGGTTCTATTGATGTGCACTAAAATACATACTACTGACAGTAAGCCATGTACCCTACTCCGCCGCGACAATCCTATTCACCACAGCATTCTTTGTAACCCCAGCGATCGAAAACACTGCGACGGGTGCAGGATTCGCGGAAAACCCCCCGATAATTTCGCCAGTGTCGCCACCCAGCAATGTCCCCGAACACGTGTAAAACCCGTGATCGACCACGCGCCAAGCTGACGCGCATGGCAGGTGTACAGTGCGCGCGGACCCGAATTCCAGGCGCACGGGGGAGAGCGCGGGGCGAGAGCGTGCGGGGTGGTGATGCGGCGACCAGAATTTGAAAAGCCAGGATGCCGTGGTGTCGCCCCTTAGGCGGCTGTGGTGGTTGGGAGGGTGGGAGAAGGTTGACGGGGAGAGTGAGATGCCAGAGGATAGAGGACAAGAAAAGGCACAATGGCATGTTCTGTTGGCTTGTGGCTGAGCATGCATGCGCAGGAGGGAGAGGGGTGGGAGGGAGAGTGGAGGGGGGGATGGGAAGGAGGAAGATCGTGGGAGAGAAGGGGGGAGATAGAGAAGCTGGGAGGTTGGGTTGGAGGAAGAGAAGACCTTTCTAAAACATCCAGAGATCAGTCTTCGCATGCAGAGTGGGTGGTGTGACGTACAGTATTTCAAGGGAGAGCGAGGCGAGTGTACGCGACTCCGGATCGCCCATGAGCGAGTGGTACGACCCTGCTCCGCGTGCCCATGCCAGGGCGTGGGGACGGGGGAGGGGGAGGGGGAAGAGGGGAGCGACATTGAGCATTGGGAATTTTGAGTTCTGATAGGCCAGCCATAAGGGAGTGGTACGCGAATGCACGGTGTAGTCATGCTACGCGGCCATGCTAAGGGTGGGGGTAGGGGGGGTCTTTTGAGTCAGCTAAAAAGGATGGCCCTTTGCACACCATGAGGGAGTGGTACGACCTTGCACACTATGACCATGCAATGCAGGGGTGTGGGGGAGCGGGAGGCAGGCGAAGGTCGTTGTGGGGGGACAAAGAACGTACTCAAGGTCATGCGCACACGCATACACACGCCCTTGTACAGCACGACTTTTGACACCTCACACAACACGCACGTACAGAGCAAGCAAGTGTTGCTACTGGCGGCTCATTGTAACGAGGGCAGAGCAAGCTAGACTGTGAAATCCCGGGGCAGGAAAGCTGTGGGTGCGGAAGCGAGGAAGAGAAGAAGCGAAGAGGCGAGCAGCACACCTGCGGCCGTAGTGGTGGCTGCGTGCCCTCCAGCCCCACAGAGCGCCGCGACTAGCGGCACCGCCAGCACTGCTGCGATGGGGGAAAGAAGGGAAGGAGAGGGGGGCGGCGGCGACGAGAGTATGAGATAGTGTTGTGAGACGAGTGGTCTCAAAACACTTCTTCAAACACGTAGCTGCGTGTGTGGGAGGGGAGGCAGGAAGTATGAGCTGTTTTGAGACGTCTCAAAACACTTCTTCAAACACGGCGGCGACGAGAGTATGAGATAGTGGGGAGAAGGCGGGTGTGGGTTGGGGGGTGGCGGGAGTTCGATGAGGGGGGGATGGGGGGGCGGAAGGGGATGGTGGGGAAGGGAGGGGGTTGTCAGCGCTAGTACACGTGGTGGAGAAACGCGCGCGTGAAGTGGAGGTAAGGGGTGAAGGTTCATATCGGGATGGATACGAAACTTAACCGTGCGGATTTAGAAGAGCGCACAGGAACACGACAGGGTGGAAAAAGAGGCCGCTTTTAGAATTTCGGGAAGAGTGTGCACAGGAGAGAAGGGCGTTGCCTGTTATAACGAGTACGTTCGTTCAAATGTTGAGACTTACTCAGGAATAGGACGAGTTTGTTGCACCTCTTGCCAACGACCGCCATTGTAGGCTACCAGGCGAGACACGCGTGCGGGGGTGGAGGCGAAGCGGAGCGCTGAGGCGCGGAAAAACTCGACGCACGCGCGAGAGGGTGAACGCGCGAGTGCGATCACGAACACGAGGGCGAGAGCGAGAGCGAGAGCGAGAGCGAGAGCGGGAGCGAGAGCGGGAGCGAGAGCGAGAGCGAGGGGAGAAAGCGAGAGCAAACGGGACTGTGAAGGCCCTGAATGCCGCGGGTGGCGGGGAATGGCTGTCGCCTCAGCGCCGTCGATCACACGCGTGGCGAGCGCTGATGAGGCCACGCACGGGAGAGCGGCGCGCGGAGGCGGCGGAGGCGGAGGCGGCGGCGGCTGCGGGGGTGGCGGCGGCGGCACACACACTGACACCCGTACTGACACCCACACTGTCACCAGCACTCACACAGACACCCACACTGACACCAGCACCCACACTGGCACTGACACTGGAGGAGCTGCTCGCATGCACCACCCCTCCACACCACCTTGCTGCTTCTCCACAGCCCTCTGCGATCCCCCTCAGCTGCAAGCCGTGCAAGACAAAGCCCCTCTGCTGCCACAAAATGCCAAGACATGCCTGTGGTGAGAGCACGAAGCATGTATTGTTGTGTGCATAACACCCCAGGGCATGCTCTGCTGCATGGAGCATGGCAGGCAGGCAAGGCCACCCGCCGGTCCACGGCACAATGCTGTAGCCTGTAGGTGCTGCAGTGGTGAGGCGAGTGACTGACCTTCACAAGGGGCTGCAGTGCACGGGACTTGGTTGATGCACGGCACACCAGCAGGCAGCGGCCATGCTGTGTCATCTTGTCACCAGCAGCCAGAGCAGGAGAGCAGAGCCAGAGCAAGTCGCAGATTGCGTCGGACCGCCCTCACTGCACCGCACCTCACCGTTCCTTGCGTGCAACAAGCCTGCCTGCACCGCACCGCACACCTCTCCAACCACACAACCTCTGGCCTCGACTGTGTGGCAGGTGTGATGTGATGCATCCCCGTGCAGTGAACCCAGCAGCATGGCTCAGTGGCCCTGCTGCATCTGGGAGCGGGTAGGTAGGCACATCAGGCAGCGCAGACAGTGCAGGGCTGCATATGTATGTGCCTGGAGGCGGCGGGTGAGGCAGGGCCGGCTGCAGCAGCACAGCAAGGAGTGCAGCGCAGTGCAGCACGATTCGGCACGGTGCAGAGCGGTGCTTGGAGGTGCCAGCCACCAGGAGGAAGAGATGGGGGAGGCGGGAGGGGCTCATGGCGCAGAGGAGAGGGGAGAAGAGGGTAGGGCGGATTGGCGAAGAACCCAGGGATGGGTGGCAGCTTGGGCGAGAGGGATGCGCTGCACGGGGTCTGCATGGACGGTACAAACGAGGGGGGAAGGAGGGGGGTTGGGGAGGGTATGCGGTGGGGATGAGATTTTGTGGCTGGTGGGATTGGGCTTTAGGCGGTAGGGAGAGTGGCAGAAGTACAGGGCATGCATGGGGATACTAGCAAGGCATGGAGGTGCGGTGAGGGGCAGTTATGGCATTGTAACGAACGGAGAGTGGATAGTAGGTAATGCATGGCGATGCATGGGTGGTTATGCTGTGATGCATGGGTGATGGGTGCTGCTGTGATGTATGGAGGCATGGTAGGTAGGCATGCCTTTGTGCAGAAGCCTGGTGAGGAGATCTGCCAACGAGGGAGTCATGTCTGGTGGCAGAATCAACGGCTCAGATTGGATCTGGAACACATATGAGGAGAGAAACAGAGGATGATGGGGCAATGAGAATGGGAGTGCATGAGAGAAAGGAAGTCGAAGGAAGGGATGGATGCACACCGCACACAACACACCGCACACCGCACACAACACAGTGGTGAAGAGAGTGCTTTTGAGATGTCTCAACAGTTTGCATGTGCACAACATTGCACACAACAGTGGCAAAGAGAAGAGAGCGCAGCCCAACATGAGATGAGACGATAATTGAGGCGCCTCAAAACTGTGTCTTATTTCACACAGCACAGCACAGCACCGCACCGCACAGCACAGCACAGCACCGCATACCTTGTCGTAGGTATCCATGAGTGAGGTCCCAAGGAAGGGGTGGCGCCCACACACCATGGCATAGAGCGTGCACCCCAGCGCCCATGTGTCTGCTGCCATGCCCTTGAACGGCTCTCCTGCACGCAGGGAGGGCAGTGGGGACAAGGGGGAAGCGGGGGAGGCAAGAGCACTTATGATGAAGCTTGAGAAGAGCACACCATGGCATAGAGCGTGCACCCCAGCGCCCATGTATCCGCCGCCATGCCCTTGAACGGCTCTCCTGCACGCAGCGAGGGCAGTGGGGGCAAGAGGGGCAAGGGCAGCAAGGGGGGCAAGGAGGGGCAGTAAGAGGCAGGGGGGGCAGGAGGGGCAAGGGGGCCAGTGAGGGCAGTGGAGTCACATTAGAGAATTCTCAAGAAGAGCACACCAGGGCATAGGGCGTGCACCCTAGCGCCCACGTGTCTGCTGCCATGCTCTTGATTGACTCTTTTGCACGCCCATAGCAGTGGCGAGGGGGAGCAGGGGGAGGAGGAGTGGAGGCAAGCCATGAGGCAGAAACGCTTGCTTTCTCATCTTCACTCGCTCTACCTCCCTCTCCCTCGCTTTTCCTCTCTTCCTTCTCTTTTCCTCTCTCTTCCTTCTCTTCTCCTCTCTTTTCCTTCTCTTTTCCTCTCTCTTCCTCTCTTTTCCTCTCTCTCCCTCTCTCTCTGTCCGCTCTCCCCCGTCCTCTTTCAGTGCGATAACTGCCCTGCCGGCCTGGCCAGCTCATGCCTTGAGAAAAGCTGCCTCTCAGCCCATCCCACAACTCCCTTCCTCTCTCATCACAACCCCACCCATCCCATCCATTGCGCACCAGTGCAGCACTCAGGAGCAGTGAAGGCGGGGGTACCAGGGCTCCGGCGCTGCAGGTCATCAGGGGACTGGGGATGGGGCAGAGAGGGGCCGCGAGGGGTAGACAGGGTGAGAGGGACAGGGGTGAGTGAGACAGGGGTGAGTGAGACAGGGGTGAGTGAGACAGGGGTGAGTGAGACAGGGGTGAGAGGGAGCAGGAGCACAACCGCAGGTAGGAATAACGCAGAAAAGCAGAGGAAGAGCGACAGGGGTTCAAGGTAGGGAGAGAGAGGGGAGGGTAGGGAAGGGGGGAATGGGTGGGTGGCAGGCAAGCTGGGTGGAAGGGCGACTTTTGAGGCGCCTCAAAAGGGGAAGGGGAGGGTAGAGGGGGTGTAGGTGGCAAGCTGGGTGTGGAGAGGCGACTTTTGAGGCGCCTCGGAAGGGTAGCAGAGGAATAGGTAGCAAGCTGGGTGGAGAGGCGGAGGGAGAGAAGCGAGGTGCCGGATGCTGGCCACCAAAGGGAGCATCACAGCAGAGGTAGCACGACAGCAGAGCATGCAGAAAGAAAGGGTAAGGCTGCAAGTAGGGAGAGCGTGCAGGCGGAGCGTGCAGGCAGAACGAGCAGGCAGAAGTGCAAGGGGCATTTGAGGAAGGGCCAGAGAATGTAAGTGTGGAAGACGTGCAGTGAGTGACTCACGGTGACCTCCTGGCAGACACCAAAGTCAGCGAGCTTGGCCGTGCCGTGCTCCGTGCAGAGAATGTTGGCTGGCTTGATGTCGTTGTGAACCACTCCCTGGTGTTGTGTGCAGGCAGGTGTGCAGGCAGGCAGGCACACTCCGATGCACAGACAGACGGACGGACGGACGGACGGACGGACAGACAGACAGACAGACAGACAGACAGACAGACAGACAGACAGACAGACAGACAGACAGACAGACAGACAGACAGACAGACAGACAGACAGACAGACAGACAGACAGACAGACAGACAGACAGACAGACAGACAGACAGACAGACAGACAGACAGACAGACAGACAGACAGACAGACAGACAGACAGACAGACAGACAGACAGACAGACAGACAGACAGACAGACAGACAGACAGACAGACAGACAGACAGACAGACAGACAGACAGACAGACAGACAGACAGACACACGCACACGCATGCACACACGCACGCACACACACGCGCGCGTGCACACACACACATCTCTCTCTCTCTCTCTCTCTCTCTCACACACACACACACACACACACACACACACACAAACACACAAACACACACACACTCACGCTCACACACGCACACGCATATATGCACGCACACACGCACACGCGCGCGCACACACACACACACTCACTAATCAAGTGGGCACACAGAAGAGCATCGCAAAGTCTCCCACAAGGTGCCGTGCTGCCAGGATATACACACATACCGCATGGCCATTCGCCAGGATATACACACATACCCCATGGCCATTCGCCAAATCACTCCCACAAGGGCTTACCACAGCTTGTGTCATGTCATGTCATGCGAGCATCATGTGCCATGCTTTGACCTCACACTTCCCTCAACTTCACTCACTTTCACTCAGTTGTCACGTATCCCCATGCTCGTCACACACACTCTATCTCTCTTTCTTCAACACGCCATCCCACAACTCCATTCACCGCCACACACCCGCCTCTCTCCAGCTCACCCTCCTCGACTCGTCCTCTCCTCGCCCACACCCCCCCCCACCGGCTCCTCCTCTAGCCAAGCAGTCATGCAACGCACACCCTTGTTCAAGCCACACCCACCTGGCTGTGCACGTAAAGCCGTGCGGCACTGACGTCGCGAAACACCCTCCTCGACTCGTCCTCTCCTCGCCCACACCCCCCACCGGCTCCTCCTCTCTCTCGCCTTGCAGTCATGCAACGCACACGCTTGTTCAAGCCACACCCACCTGGCTGTGCACGTAAAGCAGTGCGGCACTGACGTCGCGAAACACCCTCCTCGCCCTCTCCTCGCCCACACCCTCCACTGGTGGTGCATCGTCGGGGAAGACAGGCCCACCGTCCAGATACTCAAACACTACAAGGGGGGCGGGGGAGGAGGAGAAGGGGGGGTGGGGGTGGGTGAGGGTGGTTGAGGGTGGGTGAGGGTGGGTGCGAATTCTACGGTGTCTCAAAACCCTGCGGGTGGAGCATTGTCAGGGAGGACGGACCTGCCATCCAGGTACTCACACTGGTGGAGAGGAATGGGGGAGAGGAAGGGCGGTGAGGAAGGAAGGAGGCGGGGGAACAGGGGAGGTGCAGGTGGATGGGGGTGCAGGATACAGGGAAGATACAAAGGGTTCTTATTCGCTCCAAGGGTTCTTATTCGCTCCAAGGGTTCTTATTGGTTCTCATTAATAGGACTCATCAAAAGCAACAGCAAGAATTTTGGAAGCAGACTGCTTAAGTGCCGATATACACAACCATGAACGAGGAGGAGGAGGAGGAGGAGGAGGAGGAGGAGGAGGAGGAGGAGGAGGAGGAGGAGGAGGAGGAGGAGGAGGAGGAGGAGGAGGAGGAGGAGGGGGGGGGGGGGGGAGGCAAGCGAGGGGGGGGGAAGCAGCTAGGCCTAAGAAGTCAGGGAGAACAATGAGGTGTGAGTATGAGAGGGAATGGGGGCAGTGAGGTGTGAGTGGGCGTACCGAGGTAGAGTTTATCGGAGGAAGGGTCGTCAATGACCTCCCTGAGGTGCACCACGTAGGGATGCTGCAGCTGCTGCAACACACGGATCTGATGGCTCAGGGTAGGACGTGGGGGATAGGGCACAGAGGGGGCGGGGGGGAGCGGGGGATGGAAGACACGACAGGGCACAGGGCACAGGGCACAGGGCACTCCTATCTCTCCCCACCCCACCTCTCCCCACCCCGCCTGTCCCCCTCCCCACCTCTCCCCACCCCACCTCACGCTCCGCTCTCCCCCACACCTACCAACACCTACCAACACCTACCAACACCTACCAACACCTCATCAACACCTCACCGTGCCCCACCTCGCGCTGCACGTCCATGAGGGCAGTTTCGCCTGGTGCCACCCGCACCCGTGCGAGCCGGGACTTGCAGCACACCTGCTCGCACCCAAGGGAAACGAAAGGGCGGAACAAAGAGTGTGTGATTGGACGAGGAACAGGAAGTGTGATGCAGTGCGGCGCGGTGTGGTGCGGTGCTGCGCAGTGCAGTGCAGTGCAGTGCAGATTGGAAGGTGATGATAGGATGGGCACGCACGGATCGGACAAGGGGGCTTTAAGACGTCTTGAAGTTTAATAGATGCTTTTCAAGTGAGATATAAAGGAGATATAAAGAAACGCATCTTCACATATTCCTCGCTCCAAACCACCACAGTGTTCCCCCCCTCCCTCCGCCTTGCACTATCCCCCGGTCTTCCCCCACCCCTCACATCCACCGTCCCTATTTCCGCCCCTCATTTCCCCCCGCGCCCACCTTGAGCGCGCACAGTAGGCCTGTTGGCGCATGGCGGTACAGTACCTGCGCGCAACGACAGGCATGCATGGCATGGGGATGATGGGGGGGGTGTGGGGGATGGCGGGGTGGGGTGGGGTGGGGGAGACGACCGGTAAGGGAAGGAGAGAGAGAGAGAGAGAGAGAGAGCGGGAGGGGGGAAAGAGCCAGGGATGCGCGACATTAGAGGAGGGACGCATGCAAGGAGGCGAATGCGAGAAGGAAGGATGAGGGAGAGGGAGAATGTGTGCAGGAATGGTGGGTGTGTGTGTGTGTGTGTGTGTGTGTGTGTGTGCGCGCGCACAAGCACTGACCACTTTAGCGTAGGAGCCTCTGCCAATCACTCTCTCTCTCACGTACTCGTTCACCGTCTTGCGCCCCTCCGCGTCCTGCTCACAGCACCGCACAGCACAGCGCAGGACCGCACAACAGGGCACGGCGAGTTATTTATGCGATGCGAGGAGCAGCTAGCGTGCGCGGGAGGGTCCCCATGATCCCCCGCGCTCACTCTCACCCACACTTGCGCCTCTCTACCCCACGCGCCTCTCGCACTTACCTGCGATACCGTCAGTCGCCGCGTCGTGCGACATCTCGCTCCAATCGCCTCCTCGTCGTCGCTCGTCGTATTTCGCTCGCCGTCGCCGCCACCGCTGGAGCCGCCATCAGCGTTGACGGCAGTATCGCGCGCTAAAGGCGACGAGACCGCCGCTGCGAGCTCTCCGCTTCCCGCTGCGCGTCGCGGCGCCGCTTCTGGCAGCGCGTCATCGCCAGCGAGGGCTAAAAGCGACGGCTCGCTGCGGCTCACGCGCATGCCCGCGGCGGCGGGGGAAGCCGCCTGGATTGATGCGCGGGGGCGAGCGCGGTCCCGGATTGCGCTGATGGTGGCGACGGGGAGGTGAAAGGAGAGGCGCGCAACGACGAGCAGCAGCGCGCGCAGGCGACGAAAGAACGGCCAGCGGGGTGCGGGTGAACGAGACGTGCGCGCGTCCATCTTGAGTTGCGTTGAGCTGAGAGGTGGGTGGCTGTTGGGCGCAAAGATAGAGAGCTTGCTGGCACTCATGGAGGCAAGCTACTCTCAGGGATTGTTCGTAGTTTTGACACTGGTGTCAAAATGGGATTTTGACATCAACATACAATGTATGTTGGTGTCAGAATTTCGCCCAGAGTCAGCCTGTCAGAATCATCGGACATCCCGCTCGCCCAGAGTCGCATCGCATCCCAACCAACCAAAACTTTCGCACTTGCTAAACCTGGCGCCCCGCTCCCACCTAATCAATCTAATCTACAGTGATTGACACGGAAACGTGGGCCGACTCGTGTTGACACGCATAAGCAGCTGGTGTCAAAACCACGAACAAGATCTCAGGTATTTTCGAGTAGAGTGTATTTGTCAGGGGAACCTGCCATCAATGCCCCAAAATTAGAGATCTAGAGAAAAGCTGTTCTATTTATGATCTGAACTAGTATCAGTTTTGTCGTATGAATAAAACAAGAACCATACCTAATATTTGAATAATGCACTAATCACATTTCCGGTGTGTAATCAAGATTGGTGCATCACACATCTTTGTAAAATGTTGTGAGAGTAATTGACTCCTTTGGTGCAGTGGTTGCTATGGTTGTTATGGTACATGTTGTGTATAACATAACATCGCATCTTACATAAACAACATGTCTTCACTTGGTCTTAGGGGTTGATCTGATAACGTGCCCAATAGATGTTACATTCAGAAGACTATTAGGAATGTCAGATTGATCCTATATGTGCAGAAACTACGAGGTTATGGACGCATTCTGTCAGAGGTCCACTGGTGATCCCCGATTGATCCTAGGGAAGGGTTACAGGCACGGCGGCCTGGGGGGTTATGGGCGCACTCACCCGCTACACAAACAAGCCCTTTTATCCCAGTGGTTAGTGACTGGGATTCTGACATGGTATCAGAGCAAAGGTCTCGGGTTCGAATCCCGGTGTGTGCACCTCGGGCATCCCAGTGCGGGGGGGTGTCAGAGGTCCACTGGTGATCCCCGATTGATCCTAGGGAAGGGTTACAGGCACGGCGGCCTGGGGGGTTATGGGCGCACTCACCCGCTACACAAACAAGCCCTTTTATCCCAGTGGTTAGTGACTGGGATTCTGACACATTCACCTACTACTTAACAATTCATTCTACTTATCCAAGCGGTTTAGTGTCTGACATTTTGAGATGGTACCTAAGCAAAAGATAGTTGGTTCGAATTGTCAAAAAATATTTAGTTATAAAAATTTAGACTGTAGTGGGGTTAGCGTGTAGGGGGTACAACAACTTTCTCGACATCTTTCTTGTATCCCCCCTTCCCTAATCCATCATTCCCCAAGTATCTTAACACAAGTCCCCATGTGCGCAAATGTTGGCGCCTATGTCATTGCAATTCTGCTCTGCGCACACACTATGGCACTTCGTCCTTCCTCTGTTCCACAGCGTGTTGCCCTGCAGCCTCAGGCGGCCAGTCTACGGTCTCTGTCAGGCGCCCCGGGAGTGGCACAACACACTGAGGACAACGCTTGTGGCTCTTGGGTTTGATCCTTTAACTACTAATCCGTCGCTGTTTCTGCGCACCGACTCTTCTCTGCCGCCTTTCTACATCGTCGTGTACGTCAAAGACTTGGTTTTTGCTACTACTGAAACCGAGGCACTGGTCATTGTGAAGGCGGAGCTGCAGAAGAGACACACTTGCACTGATCTGGGTGAGCTGCACAACTATCTTGGCTTGAAGATCACCTGGGATAGAGCAAGGTGCACCTCTGACTCAGTCACGCATGCTGCAGCAGATCCTAACGCGCTTCCGCGTTCAGTTCTCCCCGCCACAGCCTTCTCCATTGCCTCCAAGCCACTCGCTCTCAGCTCCACCTTTGGACGAGTCCGTAGAGCCGAGTGGTCCGTATCCAGAGCTTGTGGGTTGCCTCATGTACCTCGCATACCCCCTCAGCATCCTGGCCTGTTTCGTTGCTCCCGATAGACACCGGAAGGAGCACTTGACAGCTGCACGAGGGTACTGCGTTACTTGCACAGTACATCAGGCATGGGGCTTGTGCTTGGAGGACGGGGTCCAGTTGTGCTCACTGGGCACTCAGACGCTTCTTGGGCAGACGACCAGGCGACTCAGTGGTCGTCACAGGGTTACACTTTCAGCCTCGACACTCATTCTGTCCCCTGGAGGTCCATCCACAGCTCGAGTTGTGAGGCTGAGATCTGCGCAAGGGCCATGGCTGCACAGGAGTTACGCTGGCTGACCTACTTGCTACTGAATTGGGTGAGCGGCCTCGTTCTCCTCCGGTTCTGTACTCCGACAACAAGGCCATGATTGCCTTGTAACGAGAGCAGAGACTGGAGCACAGAACGAAGCACATCGCTCGACGTAACTTCCTTGCTCGAGAGCTGCAGCAGCATGGTCAGCTTCGCCTTCCTTACGTGGCTTTACAAGCCAAGACAGCTGATATCTTCACCTATGCCCTAGGGCCTAGTAATCATCAGCGTTTTTCCATTACTCTGGGCCTTGTGCTTACACTGCCTCACTTGCTCACCTCTTGACTGCCAGAAAGGCATAATGCAAGCGTAGCGGAAACATGTTTATAGAAAAAACAAGTTAGAAAACTTGCAATTCCAACAGGTTGATAATTGAAATATAGAATGATGACAATAAATTGACAGTACAGGGTTTAATGCATCCAGCTACCCCTCCTAGGATGACCCTAATCACACCAATAATGGTGTGACAAGAATTGTACCCTCTACCCTCCAATAGTGCTGAGCTCCAATAATTGTGACCCTACAATAATTGTGAAAATTATTGTAGGCCCTGGGGGCTAATAAAGGGGACTACACTAAAACCGAACAACACAAGTACAAAGCATTCGTAATACTGTATTCGGATTTCTAACACTCCCCTTTGCTGTATGTTTTAGTTAATTCGTTTCGTGTGGTGGATGGGGTGGATGAGGTGGTGTACCACCATAGAAGTTGGGATGCTCCCAACCCAAACCAAGCTAGGGTTTGGTGTTTCCTCAGCTGCTTGTCACTGTAGCACTTTTCATCTCCCAAGCTTTTGGTGCTTCCAAACTCCAACCAAACCACCTCCCTTCACGTTTTCCAATCCCTCCTTCCAACCTCGACGTTCCAGATCTAGATCGAGGGAGTAGTGGCTGCTATTGAGGAAATCATAGCAACTCCATGGCTAAATCTCTTCTTAACCATGGCGAAATGCCAGTGTCGTCATGGCGGAATGCCATTAGCGCACGCCGAATTTCCGAAACCGTAGACTTTACGACACGCGATTGTCAGTGCTGCTGTCTTTTTTGCACGTCCAATGTGCGACGCCGTGAAACCGCAGTGGATGCGCGTCTACGACGACTGCAATTGCGGGTGATGCGAATAGGTAGCAAATTTCGTGTGTCGTGTTGTTGGCGCGAAACTACATGGGCAGGCACACACTTTGTGCGATAGAAGTGACGACCTATCGTTCGTCAGCGGCTGACGATCTGGTGCGCGTCTGCAACAACATTTTCCTGTCCACGCCTGTTGCATCTTCGTAGGCCTTTCTTCCCTTGCCTTTCTCCCTCTGCCTTACTCCGCAAACCTTGTCTTGCTCCCCTTGCCTCGTGCTATGATGGCAGAAGGTTGTCCATGACTTAAATCCATACCAAAGAATGATGCCATGTCTGCTCTGACTTCGCCCATATCTTCTTGTGATGCTCCCCCTACACTCCAACCAACACACGATAGCAGCAGGAGTTGCCGAACTCCACCAGCTGGAGGGTTGCGCATGTCGCCACACTCCAAGTATGCCGGAAAATGCACTCCATGTATGTAGAAATGCCCACTCCAAGTATGAAGTGCACACCAAGTAAGCAGATGTGTGCGTACCAATTATGCAGCTATGTAAACACCAGGTATGCATAAATGTGTGCTCCCATGAATGTTCCCCATTCTACCCTCAGATGGTGTCATTCATCAGCAGCAACCAATCGCACGATACAGCTGCATCACGACGGATGACGACCGGCTGCATCCTTTCTGCCTGCTCCCCCTGCATTTTGGTAACACTTGAGCAAGTGAGCAGGTCTACCCCGTTTGCTTCGTGACTCCATGTCTCGCTCCAGTGCCACCAGGGTTTGTAGCCATCCGCATAGACAACTACAAGCAATCTGTGAGGATCTGGTTCAGGAAAGATGATTCTATTGAATGATTCACCTGGGTACAAGGCGAGGCTATATATAGGCTCGACACAAAGGCAGTAACCCGGGTGTTACTAGAAGGTTCCGCAGGTCGCGAAGCGTCCCGAACGGGTCCTTCCCGAATTCGATAGAAGGCAATTCGGTGGCAACCGAAAAGCCTAGAATTCGGTGCACTCAACCTAGTTCGGTGCCTAAAACTATAATAATATAGTAAAAGCAACGAACCTAGGAAATCTAGCAAAAGCAAGCAAAATAAAGCAAAGCTAAGCTAGATAATAACATAATAAAGTCCAAGCAAGCTAGCAAAGCCAGCATAAGCCGTCGTGAGAAACACCCTGCTTGACAAGATAGTCCTTGAGAGCACGGCGTGCGTTGCCCATATCAGCTTCTGCAACCCAACTGTCCTCCGATGGGTCATATCCCCTCCAGCGTATCAGGAACTCGAGCGTGTTGCCGCGTCTACGTTGATGAGCGAGAACTTTTTCCACCTCGTACTCTGGTTCATCCTGTATGAGAACAGGTGATGGTGGCGGTAGCTGGCGTCCCTGGAACTGTTGGTTGGGGTCCTTGTAGGGCTTTTGTAGCTGAACATGGAAAACGTTGTGAAGCTTCCAAGTAATAGGTAAGCGCAAGCGGAATGTTACTGGTGTCACCTGTGCCTCAATGCAAAAAGGACCACAGAAGCGAGGCCGGAGCTTGGACGGTAGGTGAGACAGGTTCAAGTTGTGCGTGTCAAGAAGCACCTGATCTCCGACTGCTACTGAGTGATCACGTCGCTGGCGATCGGCATACTGCTTCTGGGAGTTCTGCATCGTGGTGAGACGTCGCTGAGTCTTCTCCCATAGCTG